AGTTCTACAGAGGAATCATCGAGTCTGTTCTCTGCACCTCCATCACTGTCTGGTTTGGCTCAGCAACCAAACAGGACAAGTACAAACTTCAGCGGACAGTCAGGACTGCAGAAAAGGTCATTGGTGTGAGCCTGCCCTCCATGGAGGATCTGTACACCTCACGGGTCAAAAGGAGGGCGGAGAGGATCACTGCTGACCCCTCACACACCGGATACAATCTGTTTGAACTCCTCCCCTCTGGACGGTGTTACAGGTCACTGTGCATTAAGACAACCAGGAAAAGGACAGTTTCTTCCCCCAGGCTGTCACTGTGATGAACACCTGACCCATGACAGTATGACTGGACAATAACCCTCAGTGCAATACCTGTAAATATACATTGGTTCTGTATAATCTGTACATACAGGTCTCTATTTTTATTCCTATTTATCTTGTTTCACAATGAGCTTTCCTTTGTCTGTCGGCATTGTTTACTGCCTGTTTATACTGCTTATTTTGCATTGTTGGCACAGTTTGTTGCTTGTTAATACTGCTTATTTTGTTATATTACACAACCTTATGTTGGTTTACTGTTTACTTGCCCCTTGCATGGGGATAAGTACATGCACATTGAGAGCCAGTGTACCAGAGTTAAATTCCTCATGTGTCCAACACACCTGGCCAATAAAGCAGATTCTGATTAGTAGTGTTAAAGCAGTGTGTGAGTGATATTAGCCAACATTAGGTGGCTACACTGTTGTTGCAAGCTGCAAAGATTTATGCTTAGAATATACATAAGCTCATTGTAAAATACAACGCTGGTCACTTCAGACATAAAGGGGCTCAAAATGTGTTACTTTGTGGCAGGCTTGTCATCTTGCTTATCAAGGACGAGGTGGTTTTATACATGTGTTGCTCTTCACACAGAGCTGACAGGCAACCATGGTAGGATTCTAATAACGAGAGCTTTGTTGTATGTCATACAACCTCTCCATTTCCATTTTGTCCTTTTGGTCACAGTAACAAATGACTGCCATTCTTTACTTACAGTCTCATCTACCTGAATCTGTCAAACTCCCATACCTCCTTCCCATAATGTCTACAATCACCATCACCGCTACACTTTTGTACAAGGGTTTTAAGGTGTCGCCACAGAAGATGGCTGTTGTTGTTGTACTCCATACTATCAACTGCTGCTTCCAAGTTGACTGAAAAATAGGAGGTTAGGCTTGTCAAGATCGCTGGGCGCTGTCTTACCAAGCGTGTCACAGGGCTCGTTCTTCCAGGAGCAGATGTCCAGCCCGGTGAGGAGAACAGCATGGTCATGCCGTTTACCACCTTTCCCCACCAAACCTGACTGCCACTGACAGAAACTGTTGAGGGACTGGTCAGCATGGTGATTTAAGTTCAAGCCCAGCTGGAAGTGGAGGGAAAAAAAACAGAGATACAAAGATTAAGTCATTTACACAGTGCCCAGTGCAAAACAGCCAATTTCTGCATAAGTCTGAATACACTCACTGGGTCCTGTTCCAGCAGTAACAGGCTAACAACCACTATGTTGATGTCTGTCCCAATGGTGCCATCTTTGAAAAGACTGGAAACCTGCCAAGGAGTAGAATAGTTTTTGTAAAATTTTGTGTCAAATAAAATGTTCATGGCTTTCTGATTTCTGATGTTCAGCTTTAAGGAGGACGGATGCATTACTTCTTTCTGGATTAATTTACAAGAAGAACAGCAGAAGGAAGTCCACTTCCTAGATGATGACAGTTTTTTACATTATATGGCAGGCAAAGGTTAGTGCCTTTACAATATTTCTGACCACAGCTATGACCTACTTTTCCGTTGCCTTTATTCTCTCTTGATTTTTTGACCTTTAGTTTTGAAAATTGTGATTCAAGCAGTGTGATAATTATGAGAGAAATAAGCTTATTTCAACTTCAACTTTCAATTTCAACTATTCATTTGTACTGAAATGAACAAGTGATTTACTCTTTCCAACGTTATACAGTTTCACTTTAAGGATTGCTTCAATATAAAACTGTCTAATTTCTGAATTTTGTTTGTTAAAGAGCACATGAAGAAGGCTTTAGGATGTAGGACTGGAAAAATAGTAGTGAACATGTGGAACTACAGTAGCACACTTAGGGTTAGCACTAGCTCGGCTACCCACATAGATCATGTGACTCTTGCCTTGTAGGTCGTGGCAGTCCATCAAGAGTCTGCCATGTTAGATGTCAGGAGAAGAATTCCTATGCATGGTGGTGTGGCCTTGTACATAGATAAGAACTTTTGTTATAAGAATGTAGACAAAATGTCTAGGGTAGTGGATAATTTACTCGAATGTGTGACTGTTGAATTACTTTTGGAAAAAAAGAAAAATGTTGTAATAAGCTGTATCTACAGAGCACCTGGAGCCAGCATAGAAAAATTTAATGACTGGATGGAAGAAAATTACTCGTCAATAAGTCATAAATTAATGTTTATATGTGGTGACTTTAATATAGATTTGTTGAATCCTAACAAGCACACAGCAACTGAGGAGTTTATTAACACATTATATAGATGCAGTTTATACCCAACAATTACAAAACCAAGTAGATTAACAACCCAGCATGCAACACTAATAGATAATATATTTACTAATGATATTGACAGCAAAATGTCTAGTGGATTACTTATAAATGATATCAGTGATCATATACCAGTATTTTTGGTTTATGCCATGTTAGAAATGAAAGGCCAAAAACAAATCTTTTTTATAGGAGGGTGATGAACGAACATGCTGTAAGGAGGCTAAAAAAGGACTTTATGGGGCAAGACTGGGATGCAGTTTACAAAGAGGAAGACTTAGACAAAGCATATGAGCAATTTTTAAATATATTCAAGAAAGTATATGACAGGAACTGTCCTCGTAAGCAGTATAAAAACAAGAGGAATTACAGTGGGAAACCGTGGATGAGTAAGGGATTACAGAATGCATGTAAAAAGAAGAATACGTTATATAAAGAATTCATAATGGACAGATCCAAGCAGACGGAAGAAAAATATAAGTTATATAAGAACAAATTAATTGC